TGATTAAGAAACTATAATTTTGCTTGACTACAGCCTGGAGTGAGGGAAGGATCTGAATTCCTAAATACTTGAATGTATTACTGACTGGAATTAAGGAGGACACAGATACAGTATCGCACAATACAGATAATGGCATTAATACTGATTTCTCCCAATTAATCTTATAACCACTCACATTACTAAAATCGTTGAATATTTTAAGACACTGAGAGACAGAAGTGGAAATGTTATACAAATACAGCAAGATGCCATCAGCAAAAGGATATATGTGGTGTTTGGAGTAGTATATACTGATAGGCGAAATTATATGATCCTGAAGAATTGCCAGTGCCAGAGGCTCTAATGAAAGGGCAAACAACAATGGGGATAATGGGCATCCCTGTTTTGTATTACTGCCCAGCAGAAAAGCACCTGAGCAACCGATCCCTGTCAACACCTGTGCAAAAACATTGCTATAGAGAGTTCGTACCATATATATATATAAAATGGGGACCAAAGCCAAAACAATTCAAAACTGACCAAAGATACATCCACTCGATGCGATCAAAGGCTTTCTCTGCATCTAGTGAGAGAACAGCTCATTGATCGTCAGTCGGATTGGGCATGTCTATAATATTCAGAAGACGTCGAACATTATCCATAGCACAGCGTCCCTTAATAAATCCTGTCTGATCATAAGAGATTAAAAAACCAGCAACTTGATCTAAATTAAGGGCTAGAACTTTAGCATAAACCTTAGTGTCCATGCAAATTAATGAAATCGGCCTATAGCTAGAGCAGTCGAGAGGGCTCTTCCCTTTTTTCAAAATCAGGGAAATAAGGGCAGTGTTCTGATCTCTGTGAAAACAACCCGTGTCTATGGCAAAATTTAAGGAATCAAGAAGGAGTGGTCCAAGCAAATCCCATATCACTAAGTATGGCTTCTGGGGGTAAGCCATACAGGCCAGGGGCCTTACCCTTATTCACTGATTCTAAAGCCTCTTTTAATTCACTCAGTTCAATTGGAGAATTGAGAAAATTACGTTGCTTGTCACTTAGGTGAGGGAGATTTAATTTTGATATGAATTCAATTCTCTGTTGTTCATCCAAACCCACCTCGGAACTGTAAAGCTGCTCATTAAAGTCCTTAAATATAGCATTCGCCTATTCACTATTTTTCAGCCTTAAAGCCAGCAATTTAGTTGGGCCTTTCTCCATTAAAATAGTAATTGAGTTGCGATGGAGCAAAAATTCCACCATTTTTAGTAAAATTGCCTTGTAGTCAGATCTTAAATTTCCCAAAATCCTACTCTTCTGTTCTGTAAAAGTTTATTTAAAATCCTTCTCCAGTATTTTACTTTTACTTTAGATTTATTATCATAAGAGGCAAAAGAAATAGTTTCCTCTCAGAAAACACTTAGCTGTTTCCCATAAAATTTGTGGATTAGCAGCTGAACGTCTCTGTTATATAGGTAACCCTCGTTACCCCCGTGCACCTAAGCCCATGAAGAAGCTACACTACGGGTAGAGTGAGTTCTCACCCCCAGGGGGCATGGCTCGCCTTGGGATTGATATGCCAAGGCGATGGCATCCACTATCCTGTGGGCCAACCGCTGCTTGGAAACAGCCTTCCCTTTCTGCTGGCCTCCATAGCAGACAAAGAACTTCTCTGAGCTTATGAAGCTCTGGGTGCGGTCCACCATGCTCAAGGCTCTTACAGGACACAGCAACGCCAAGGCTGGATCTGCCTCCTCCGGGCACAGCGCCAGCAGGCTCACCACCTGGTTACGGAAGGGAGTGGTGGGAACCTTTGAGCACATATCCAGGCCGGGGTCTCAGGACAACGTGAGAGTGGGCCGGCCCAAAAATGCTTGTAGATCCCCGACCCTCTTGATGTAAGTGAGCATGGTCTTAAGCTGGGCTCACACTGTGTGATTTTTAAAAGCCCTTTAGGATTGTAATTGTCAGACTGTACGAACATGATAATCACAGGATGTTCCTGTGGCTCAGTGGTAGAGCATTGTGTTAGCAGCGCAAAAGGTTGTGGGTTCGATTCCCAGGGAACACACATACTGGTAGAAAATGCATAGCCTGAATGCACTGTAAGTCGCTTTGGATAAAAGTGTCTGCTAAATGCATAAATTATTATTATGATCAAGTAACACTGTGGGATCTCAGTTGTCAATGTCAGACTGTACGACAGTTTTCAATTGTCTTGAAAAACGAAGACAGTTTGACGTTCGTCGTAGGAGAAGTCACACTGCAGGACTGTGCGGTGTTTGGAAGATCTTCTGACATCTTCCGAATTTCGTCGGAGGTAAAATTTCATCGCAATGGCCATTAATCAGCTGTTGGTGAACATGTCAAACCAGCGATCAAAGATTACAGATTTTAGCCTAGGATTATAGGAATCTTTTAGGATTTTCAAAATTTGTCTCAGACGACCAAATTGTGGCCAAAATCGCACAGAGTGAGCCGGGCTTTAAGAGACAGGATTTTAAGCTCAATTGACTCCAGAGGCTCAAAGGGAACCCTCTGAAGTCCTGGCTGGACTTCAAGGCATAAGCTCGCCTGGTAGAGGGAGCTCTGGCTTGAGTGACAGTGTCAACCACAATCGGTGGCAGATCATTTAAGTCTGCCACATCCCGTCCAGGAACCACACGTGGAGGTTCCAGAGGTCTGGACACGAGTGCCATATGGTGCCCTGCTCCTGAGAAATAAGGTCCTTCCTCAGGGGGATGCGCCAGGGAGAAGCTGTCGCAAGGAACATGAGTTCCGAAAACCATGCAGGTCCGGGTGGGCCACAACCAGGCACAACAAGCAAGACCTGTTCCTCATCCTCCCTGACCTTGTACAGTGTCTGTGCGAGGAGGCTCAATGGGGGAAAACACATACTTGCGTAGGCCCCGGGGCCAGCTGTGTGCGAGTGCGTTCATGCCGAGAGGGGCCTTGGTCAGGGAATAGTACAACTGGCAGTGGGAGGTTTCGTGTGAAGCAAACAGGTCTACCTGAGCTTCCCCGAATCGACTCCAGATCAGCTGAACCACCTGGGGATGGAGTCGCCATTCTCCAGGGAAAGTGAGCTGCCATGAGAGCGCATCAGCTGCATGGTTGAGCTCCCCCGGAATGTGCATGGCACGCAGCAACTTGAGCCACATCTGACTCCAAAGGAGGAGATGGCGTGTGAGTTGCGACATGCGATGTGATCGTAGACCTCCGGGACAGTTGATGTACGATAAAGCCACAGTGTTGTCCGTGTGGGCCAACACGTGCTTGCTCTTATCTACGATAAGATCAATCAGTGACTGTGAAGCCTGATCACCATATGCCGGGCACAGAGATTTATCGATAGAAGGATTAATGACTGCATTAGCATCCATATCATAGACTGTATAAAAACATGGACGTAGTGTCCGTGACGTCACCCGTAGGTTTCTGAAGAGTGTTTTTGAAGCTCAAAGTGGGCGGAGCGGGCCGTCGCCATCTTGGCAGCGCGTCACCGTGCGTCACTCCCGGATAATCGAAAATGGGCAGAGGCGGGAGCTGGTTGCTGAAACCACGCCCACCTAGCTCGACGGCGGTGACAGCAGCGGCAATCCACCTGTCACTCAAGTGGCCACGCCCTTAATTATGCAGAATTTTAAGGCTTAATATAATTTAAACGGATGAGTTATAAAAAAATTCACCCCCCTCACAGTTGTCATGAAGGGCAAAATTAGATATGTAGACCAAAACCCTTTTTTGTACCAGGCTGTGTAAACATTTTTTTTGCTATAAAGTTGGGCATTTTAACATGGGGAGTCTATGGGACTGACTCCCTTTTGGAGCCAGCCTCTAGCGGCCAGTCGATGAATTGCAGTTTTAGTCATTTCCGTGTTAGATTCACGAGAGAGACCGGAAAGGTTGCCGCTTGATCCATACTAACAACCACGTTGTAGTCAACAAAACTGAGGAGTTTGGTTAAGAGATTGGGGGGGGGGGGCAAATTTTTTTTGTTTTTTAGTTTT